AGCTGGGTGAGCTGGGTGAGCTGGGTGAGCTGGGTGAGCTGGGTGAGCTGGGTGAGCTGGGTTAGCTGGGGTAGCTGGGGTAGCTAGGTAAACTGGCAGGAGAGAGAGACAGGCTGCCTGGAGAACAGTGGCACCGTGATCCTGAGCTAACTACAGGACTGGAACAAGACCGAAAGTACAGATGCTTCCACTATGTTAGCAGCTGTGGGTCAGCAAAATTCCTGACACTACCATTGTCTTTATCTTTGTTTTTAATTTTCCTTCTTCATGTTAAATAATTACACAAAGCATCTATTGAAAGTTTTATTTCGCTGGGTGGTGGTGGCGCACGCCTTTAATCCCAGCACTTGGGAGGCAGAGACAGGTGGATTTCTGAGTTCGAGGCCAGCCTGGTCTACAGAGTGAGTTCCAGGACAGCCAGAACTACACAGAGAAACCCTGTCTACTACACAGAGGAAACCAAAAAAAAGAAAGAAAGAAAGAAAGAAAGAAAGTTTTATTTATTTGTAATGCTTTGTAAAGTATCCACCACAGAGTCAGGGTTTAGTACTCATTATATAACAGTGACTATGAAAAGAAAACTGTGACTATTTACTAAGAAATCAAAGTAACTTAAGGACAAAGGGACATTATTCAGTGGTAAATATATCTCCCAGAAAAGCTAAGATTACAAAGAAAAGAAAGAATAATATGATTGGATTAATATATTAAAAAACTATGACCCAATCATTTAAACGAAGTCTCTGATGAGTAAGTCTCACCCCAAGCTGTCCAGAACACACTCTAGAGTCAGCAACTCTGCCTGTCCACTCCGGCCTTACTACTATTCTCCTTTTAAATGGGTCACCTAAACCATGTCTAATTTTACAACAGGTGGGTAACTAAGTCAGTCCACATTAAAGACGACTCACAGATGAGCACACAGCAGATGGTGAACTCTTATAAGCAAACGTGCAGATTATAAAGTAAGCCTTAAAGACGCTTTGATGAGACAGAGCAGGGAACGCTTAGAGAACCGCTGCAGTGACCACAGCCTCACTTGAGGAGGGAAGCTGGATCCAGCACCATTCTGTCCAGCCTGACTCCTGACTCAGAGCACAGTCTTCCTACCTCACGCCTCCCAGTGCCAAGCACGACCTCAAACCACTGGATGATCAGTCCACCCTCAGGTTCTCCAACACGGAGAAGGACGGTGCTAACAGGCGCAGATGTGCGAGCCTGGTCAGGTCACAGACAAGCAGCAGGAGCTTCATCTCTTCTGGAGAAAGAGCCTTAGACCTTTTCTTAAGCTACTTCCTGACTACCTCATCACATGCGCCTGGAGTCTTCCTGCTATGTTAAGCCCACAGCTGCTGCTGTTCACCAGCACTAAGTGGGACCAGGTACCTTTAGATCATGGAGGAGAAGGGGAAAGCACAAAGACATACACGTGTCTGCTGAGACTGAGACAATGTAGCATAGCCTGTAAATGCTATTTCAATAAAGACCAGTTGTTCGCATTAGGCAACAAGCTCTCAAGGTTCTAGCACTCCAAACAAGAACAGAAAATAGTTATTAAGATTTTTAAGCTTCTAACTTTTTACATTTCTTTTTGAGCATTCACACCTGTCCCTTGCACCCTCCCTTCCACTCCCCGCTCGCCCTCGCTCCTCCTCAATGATTCACCTTTAAAGTAACTCCACTTTTTCTACCTGAAAGGCCTGACTTACGTCCCTACTTAGGAATATGATGGTAGCATCAACTTTGCTTAGTTGGTTTTGTAAAATGAGGCTTGCACTGTGAACCAGGGATTAACCAGTATAGATTCAGAATGCACTAATGGACCAAAGTTGTACAATTTAAAGAGAATAGCATACAGTGTTAATTGTATGTTGTTTGTAGGTTGTAGTAGGCTACTTAATTTAATTTTTTCAGATTGAGTCAATACTCAATAACAAAACACAGGAAAAAAAATTCTTACCCAGAGTATATAATCAAACAAACTAATAGGTTTCTGAAAGAACTGAAGACTCTCCCCTGGAAACCAATGCTATACAATAGGAAGAACCCTCTTAAGACTGGTCCCATAAACCCAGGACATCTCTCACATAATGTAAACTATAGCCTTTGAGCATGAGAAGCGACTTCAGAACTCTGACTAAGTGACTAGTGTAGAACCCAAAAGAAGCCCGAGACTCAGCAGGGAGAGGTGAATTTAGTTTTAATTTTATTTATTTATGTTTTTTTCAAGACACAATCTCACTATATAGCTCTGGCTGGCCTGGAACCCACAGAAATCTGCCTGCCTCTGCCTCCCTCTAGGAGGCATGCTAGGAACCACTGGCCTTCTGGCAGTGTGGCACAGTTCAGCAACAGCCAGGGCAAGAAGATGCGCCAGGGCAAGAAGAGGTCCCAACACAGCCAGTGGGATTACTTCAGGCTGCAGCATCAGCTCAGATGCCAAATGAGGGATGAGGAAAAAAAAGAAATGAACTAGGAGTCAGGACAAGGAAAATAACGTCTACCAGGATTCTGAGAGCAGCAGGTCAGCTGTGTACCAGGCAGGAGAGAAGCATGGGGCCCAGCAGTGAACAAGTGTCACAGGAAATAAGGAGTCTCACTTTTTCACACCACATGAGGGTCATCAGCCCAATCCCCCACAGCCCACCCCTGCCACTCCCTGCATGCTGTCCATCTTCCAGTGCTCAGAACACTGGCACTGCTTACAAAGATAAAGCACGGCAGGTTAACTTGTCGTCAGTCTCCAGCCTGAGGAGTGAGTCGTCAGGCAATCAGCTAAGCCAATCAGCACTCACAACATCTCCAGTGGCTGTTCTTTCCTTTCCATGTTTAAAACTTCTTCAGGACATTTAGTGTCCCCAGTGTCATTCTAAACTTTCTCAGAGACAGGTTCATTCTCTCAGTTATTCCATTTGTTTCTCTAGCTGTGGCAAACAGATACACTGACCTTGACAATCAAGTCTCATGTGGCCCCACTCTTGCTTGGCTCATCTGCTATGGCTAACGAGAGTCAATGGCAGTTTATTGACTTTCTCAAGCAGCCAGTGACTCATAAAGGAGTGAACCCCAACCCTTTCCCACACAGACGCTTGCTTAACTGACAAGTCGGTCACGCTCAGAGCGTGTGTATCGTGTTCATGTCTATCACTTCTGTGTGGCTAGAATGTATATCAGTAAGGCAAGACACAGTGACCTAAAACTCTAACGAAGCCTTCTGGGAGTAAATCTGATTCCAGAAAACATCAGACTTGATCATTACTATGTAAGAACCAAGCAAGGTATGAACCTGTACAGAGCTACTGTGAGGGAAATTTCTACCAAGTAGTTAGTTTATACTTCAGTGTTGATTGTTCAATTCATTAACATTTTTGTTTATGAAAATGATGACAAAATATCCTAAAAACAAGACTGAAACTTTATAAAGGAAACTAAAAAACACAGAATATGATTACCCTGTTTATACAACTACCTGCTAATATTTTATAATTTGTTATTTTCTGTCTTTAATGAACTCAAAGTCAGGCTATATAACATTTGCTTTTAAAATATCAGCTGCTTTGTGTTTTTAACATCCTAAAAAGGTAACAAGACGATACTTGCACACAAGCCTCGGTTTGTACCTAAGGTTTAAGGACACTTCTTACCAGATTCTCTGGCGCTAAAGTGATCCAGCGGATTTCCTTCGGCGTCCGGGTTGAGGAGCACCATTTCAAAGGGGATATCTTCCACCTGGGGACTCTCCGTGTCATCCCTGCAGGTGTACTTGTCTGCATAGAACACACGCCACGTCTGGGGAGCGGGCAGCTGGGACACTGTGAGGTTGTGCTCAGTCTGGTTCACTGTCACTTAACGAGAAAGGAAAGAGCTTCCTTCAGAGCTCGGCTCGCAGTTTTACCCATACAATCCATGGGAGTTTAAAATCTTTTTCTTTTTTTTTTTTTTGTCTCAAAAATTCATGTCCTTGTGTACTATCAAGATAAAGCATAGATATTATAAAGCAGACTAAAATGACCATTTAAGCAATAAGGTCACTATGAAAGTATCAATAACATATCACAAAAGAGAAATGGTTTCATTGAAACTGAGTTTTTAGTAAAACTCAGTTTTACCAAAACTTGTTTATTAAAACTTTATGAAGTTTCCAGTGGATTAATAACATTTAAAAACTATTTTATGTGGCAAAATACATACCAAATAATCATTTTTAACCCTATCATGCCATACAGCAGCTGCAGTCAGTTTTAGAAGCAACTTCCTTGATTTAAATATAAGACAGCGTCTTTACTTAAGGAAATACTTACATCCTTATCATCTATATAAAGATTTCTTCTAACTGCTCTTTCTATTTAAAAGGAACTGTTAGTAGCAGAAAAGAAATGACCGCAGTACTGGCTCAGACCCATACGTGGTCGTAACACAGTAGAAACCCCCAGGAATGCTGTACCCAGAGCTCTGGAACCTGGCTGCAGTATTGTGCTGGCTAGCTTTATGTCAACTTGATAGTTATCTGAAATGGGGGAAATCTCAATTGAGGAAATCCTCTATAAGATCTGGCTGTAGGGCATTTTCTTAACTAGTGATCAATGGGGGGAGGACCCGCCCACTATGAGCAGTTCTATCCCTGGCCTGAGCTCCTAGGAAAGCAGGCTGCACAAGCCATGAAGAGCAGGCCATGAGGAGCAGGCCTAATGACACTGGTCTGGTCTCTGTCTCACTGTCTTTTCGCAGCAAGCCTCTTGACAATACTGTGTTATTGTTTTTGAGACAAAAGACTACAGCACAGCATGCATGTTCTATGAGGGCATAATTAGTATCTCAAATATTAACAAAATGTGAATCACCAAAGAAGGGCTGAATGGCTAATTTCCCAATCATTATAAAAAGAAATGAATGCTGTTAACCGGAATGCTCACGGTAAAATACTAATGCCTAAAATGCCTTTTAAAGTATACCGTACACACAAAAGAAATCACATGCATGAGATATAAAAGACAGCAAATTATTCCCTGTGTAGTATCATATTTAACTACTTAATCTAACAACACATTATTTGGCATTACATAATTTTAAAGAGAAATTTATCCTAATTTTCAGTGTCTTTAAATGTCTAGTGTGTTTATTTTGAATTAAAATGGACAAAAGTAGTTTCTAGCATTAAACAAAAGCCTGCACTGGTAGCAAACCTTAGTGGCAGTTCCTGTGAGACACACACACACACACACACATACACACACACACGAGAGAGAGAGAGAGAAAGAGACAGATCATATATGCTGGGGATGGTGAGATGGCTCAGTGGTTAAGACACTTGCAGCTCCTGCAGAGGACCTGGACTCAGTTTCCAGCACCACACAGTGCTCACAATTATTCTTAGCTCAGTCTCAGGAGATTTGGTATTTCAGATTACTGGTCATTTTCACAATGTGTGCCAGAAATAAGGCTTTACATAAGGGCAGGGTAAATGAACAAGTCTACTAAGATTGTTACGTTGTAAAAGTCAGATTACTAGTCTGAAAATGTACTTGTTCCAAAAGTATGTGGCACAAAAGTAAGTATGTGGCACTATCACAGTGTCATGAAATAATGCCTATGCTTTCCTCACCGAAGGCGCCTGAGCAGCAATACATTATAAATATGACCATTAATAATTCAAAAGAGTAAAACATTACATCGTTAGGTTTTGTTGAAAAAAAAAAACTGATGGAAATAATAAAACATGTATGTATATACACACATACACATACACAAACTAGCTGGTTTGTCAACTTCTCTTGATGATTCAGTTGTAAGCTGAAATATCCCTTTCTTCCCCAGGTTACTTAGAAGAACCTAGAGAAGCAAACTAGGACACAGTGTTTTATACAAAATACATATGTAAAAGATATATAGCAACTATGTAATATATAAGCGTTTTTAGTACTTTATTTTAGGCTCCTAAATTTAACAAAACAATATTCATTCCTCTAAAATTCCTGTCTTCTGGTATCTTTCATCTTTTTTTTAATTAATGTATGTGTAGGTACTCTCAGATGCCAGAAGCACCTCGAGATTCCTGGAGCTAGTTACAGGCAGTTTTGAGCTACCATACATGGTGCTGGAAACTGAACCCAGGTCCTCTGCAAGAGCAAGTGCTCTTAACCACTGAGCCATCTCTCCAGCCCCTCCAGTTATCTTCCCTTCATAATTCCTAAAATACTCCTGTCTTTGAAAGATCAGGGAAGGGAAACAGCTGTACATCGACAACAACACAGGCAGAGACCGCAGTCCTCTGTCTAAAGGAACCATCCAGCTGCAGCATGTTGGTCGGAGTGTGCGGGAACAGGCACAGTCCAATTGTTTTATGAGCAGGTTGTCACAAGTCACTAGCAGTGACTTCCAGTTTGGTGGGGTTTCCCTCTGACAATGCAGGAAAGGCTGTTCTGTCAATGGATACAAGACATAGTACGACATGAACCACGTGGTGTAGGAAAAGAGAATGATAGTCCTAAAGCCCAAGGTCTTTAACTAGTTGCTGAATTTTTATTGGAACAAGAAAAGATTTCTGTGGTGCCAGATGAGAGTCAACAGGCAGCCCCCTCCTGCCAAACCAGGCTGGAGAACTGCTCATCCTCCAGACACCCGGGCACACGCTTCACTAACACCAGGTCTCAGACTGTCAGTCCACCGTATACCATGTAAATAAGTCACCACACTTACTGTAATTGATGTGTGTGTGTGTGTGTGTATGTGTGTATGTGTGTGTGTGTGTGTGTGTGTGTGTGGTGGGGGGAGGCAGGATGAGAGGATATCTGCAGAGGCCAGAGGAGGTTGTGTGAGCCACCCGACGAGTGAGGTCCTGGGCAAGAGCAGTGAGACTCTAACAGCCGGGGGGTCTCTCTAACCCTGAGTGTATGAATGTTTCTTTACGTTGATCTGAGTCATTCCTGTCAGCATTATCCGTAAGGACTAAGAGAATGTCTAGGTAACAAACAACTGTGATAAAGGAACTTCCATCTTCATCCCTGCTCTGGGTTGCTGCCTTTCAGGTATCCAGCAAGTCAGTAAGACTGGCTATTTGCAAACGGGAACATTCTACTGGACTAGGCTACCAGAAGGAGGTAGCACAATCCTGTGTGTGGATGACGTTTATGAACAGAGAAAAAGGGAAGACAGTGACTGCTGGCTTTTCCTCATGGACGCCACACTGGTTTGAATGAGAATGTCCCTCACAGGCTGAATATTTGGTTCCCTGGTTAACGGAACTGTTTGGAAGGATTATGAGACCTCTGAGGTTTTAAAAGACTTGTGTCATCCCAGCATGCTCTCTGCCTGCCTCCAGCCTGTGGATCAGGATGTGAGAACCTGACTAAACTCTAGTTGCCTGGCGCTATGTTTCACTCTGCTGCTAGCCCTCTGGAACCATAGCCCCAACTTTTATAAGCTGCCTTGGTCAGTGTCTTATCAAAGCAGTAGAAAAAAAAAAGGAACACAGATGTTTTAACTTTGTCTCCTACAAGCAGTTAGTTAGCTTCAGGGGTGGAACGGGCAGAATGCCAGATGGACTGCATTCCTAACTTAGAAAAGCCCCCGTTTCTCTCCCTCTCTCAGTGGCTACCATCCTAATCATGAGACACTGTTGAGAACCCCTGAGATTTATAAGTAATGTGGTACGACTAAGTGTCAACAGTATGCAAACAGCATCACTTGGGCTAAGCTGTATAAAATAACATACCTTTAGTGCTCAGAACAGTGTTGGCAAATAGTATATAGCCAACTAATGTTATTCACTGTACACTACAACCAGTTGAAAAGGATGTCATATTAGCATAAAATATATAAAACATAGTATGAATGAAGACTCCTCTATGAATTATTTGGATGTCTAAAAACTTTTTTAATGATAAAATGGAGAAAAAGCATTCTATCCTTTGAACGAAGAAGAGGTTAGCTTTTGAAAAATGCAGCTATAAACAGAATAAGCAAACTATCATCACGGTTACATGTATGTAGACACAAAACACCTTAGCATATACATCTATGTGTATATAGACCTCATGCTGTACTATACTTCAACATTAGCAGGGAAAACCCCACAGCTGATGACCAAGGGAAAGACCCACGAGCTCACCTGTCAGCTGAGCTCTGGCTAGCCGCTCACTGCAGCTGTAACCCGGTGCTCACCTGTCAGCTGAGCTCTGGCTAACTGCTCACTGCAGCTGTAACCCGGTACTCTCACCTGTCAGCTGAGCTCTGGCTAGCCGCTCACTGCAGCTGTAACCCGGTGCTCACCTGTCAGCTGAGCTCTGGCTAGCCGCTCACTGCAGCTGTAACCCACCCGGTGCTCACCTGTCAGCTGAGCTCTGGCTAGCCGCTCACTGCAGCTGTAACCCGGTGCTCTCCTGTCAGCTGAGCTCTGGCTAGCGCTCACTGCAGCTGTAACCCACCCGGTACTCACCTGTCAGGGGAGCTCTGGCTAGCCGCTCACTGCAGCTGTAACCAGGGTTGCTCTCCTGCAGCTTTAGCCATTCCTGGGCTTGGAACAGGTAGAGCTTAGCTTCTTTGCCAACAGCCACTGCTATGTTGTTGATTCTGACACACAGAAGAGCATGGTCACCTTGACATTAAAACAGAAATTATCAACTAGTTTGTTCTTATAGAGCACTGAGACAGCAGTCCACACCTCCACACAGCAATGCGTTGGTTTGCAGAAGAACTGTTCTTACATCTCATTATGTAAATTAATCTCAACATAACGAACACCTCGTTCAGGTGTAAGAGTTTACCCAACACAGAATGTATCTGTGTAACTGCAGTGGTCCGTGGTAGCATTTCACTGAATGAAGAGCTTCACCTGGGACACACAGACATTCATCATCATAGAATGTCTGCTTCTCTTTATACCCCATCCATGTGATTAGTAAGCATTTGTTCATAATCTACAGAAACTTTTGCTGAAGTATCTTTTTTTTTTTAACATGACAAGGCTATTAGTACCTAATTATATTTTAATGTGAAAATAAACACAGGTGGGTAATATGAGCTTGGGGTACCTATTTTATGCCCATAACACATTTTTATACTTACGACTTTTTAAAAAACAATTGTAGGAAGTGTGTGTTGGGTGAATAAAGGAGAGTGAACCTGGCCACACCCAGAACTAGTGAAGACCCACATTAGAGGCTGAAGGAAGAACATTTGCTGCTCTTGAAAAGACTATGGGTTTGGTTCCCAGCACCAACATGACAGCTCAGACCAACTAAAAAATCCAGTGGTAGGGAACCTGACTCCCTCTCGCTCCCACAGACACCTGCATGAAAGTAACACTCATAATGTGTTATTTGTAAAGAAATGTAATAATTTAAAACTTTTTAGTATAGAAATAGCACAAAGCAGGTGCCTGCAGGGGAAGGGACGCTGGGTAAGAGAGGTGAAACAGGAGGTCCATTTTACAATTCTCTATGCTTTTGGTTAAGTTCTTTGTTACTAGAATTACTGCTTTGGTTAAACCTTTTAAATAAGTTAAAATGTACAGTGTACATAAAGAATAAATCTCGTATCTAAGTTGGTATACTATATCAAGTTTTACAAAGCGACTCAAGTACTATTAACAGTTTAAATTGTAGTCAGAGTTCTCTCTCTCTTTTTGTTTTCGTTTTTGGAGACAGGGTTTCTCTGTATAGCCCTGGCTGTCCTGGAACTCACTCTGTAGACCAGACTGGCCTCGAACTCAAGACATCCACCTGCCTCTGCCTCCCAAGTACTGGGATTAAAGGCATGTGCCACCACCGCCCGGTGAGAGTTCTCTTTCAGCATAGCTTTACTGTTTTTAACTGGAATTGACCAAAACCTGGCAACAACTTGGCGTAAGAGAATTATACCTGCCCAATATATGAGAGAAACTACCTGGTCTACTACCTACCCCTTCCCCAATCTGCTCTGAGACTTAGGCAACTTAACAGGAACGCTGTCTTTTTCGCTCAGCTGACACTTTATAACATTTCCCGAACAACATCCAGAGTCTCTGTTTGATAACCTAGATTTCCTTCATCTCCCCTCCGAAAGGTAATTACAGCCAGAGTTATGGGTGGGGCATGAACAGCACAAATCGCAGCTTCCACAGAGCCTTGATTTACCAGCGTTTTCTAGATCACAGTGACACTGTCAGTTCTCAAGGGACCTGCTACAACGAGGTGGTCAAGAGACTAAAAATACAACAAAGCTGTTTACTTGGGAGGGTTCTTCATTCACCCAAGTTCATTCTGATTTTTAAAAACTGAAACGTTTTTCTCAGAATTGTAAAACCTTCAATGTTTGTGAAAGCCTTTTATGCCAATTCTAAAAGTTCCCAGGACTTGACATTCCTTCCCATACCAGCCAAGTAGCTTCTGATTTCTATTATCTTCTCCTAAGACTCACTCTTAAGTAGGTACTGCTGCATCTCTAATGCAATACCATCATATAAGCTGAAGATCTCAGTGTCAGTAAGGAAATGACTCACTTGAAATGCAGTAATGTTCAAAGTACCAAGAAAACACTCCAAGAGAACAAATAAATGGGGCAAAATTAAAAGAATGAATTGCAAATTCGTCAACTGATTTTTTTCAACTACTTCTTTTCCTGGAGGATACCAGGAAGTACATATGAAATGCAGCTCTTTCACAAATGCCAGAGTGTATCAATCACGAAACTTTCTAAACATTTAAACGCGTGTTCACCCAATGAACTCTAGGCACACGGTAATAACTAAACGGTTGAGGCAATGACAGATCCCAAATCCGCTCCAAGTAGGTTTCACGCAACCGGTCTTACAAACAACAGGAAAGCTAAATTCCTGGGCTGACATCCACTCATAACCAAAGGGCCCAAATGCATGCAATCAATCCATGTGTGGAGTTGGGGGAGAGCCCTGGGGAGATGCAGTGGAGAGGTCTGGTTTGCACCGGGAGCGTTGGGGAAATGGCTTTAAGGTGCGTTAGACTACAGCCCGGTGAAGGTGCAGGGTCGTGGCGCTGCGGGGATCCAGGTGAGGCCGGGATGATGTGACGGGAGGGAGGCGCGCCGAGGCCACCGCCTACCGACCCCGGGCCCGCGGGAGGCCGCGCGCCTCCACCCCTCGCTCGGCCTGCCCGGACCTACCGTGGAACTCGAAATGGCCGATGCTCTGGCCCTGGGCGTCGCGGGCCGCGGCGCTGCTGAAGCTGCCCCGCAGAGTCTTGCCCTGGACGTCCTGCGGCCACCAGCAGCTGCACGTGAGGGCTACCGCCAGCAGCCGCAGGCCGCCCATGCCCGCCGCACGCCCCGTCCGCTCACTCGCCCGGCAACCGCCTGCGGCCTGCAGCCCACGTCGGCAGCGGAGGGAGGGGCGGGGCCGAGGGGGCGTGGAGTCGGAGACTGACGGCCAATGAGGCGCGGGATTGCCGCCATGAGCCGGGGACAGTAGCCAATCATAGGCTGCGGTGGGCGGGACGTGCAGCTCTGCGGTCCCGGCGCTCCCCAGCCACGCTGCTTGTTCCCGCCTGTTTTAAATGGAGCCCTCCAGGGATGCTGTTTACGGAGACTGGAAACAATCGCCCTAGCAGCCGCTGCGTGTTACTCCATTGCGCACGCGCGCACCTGCCACTGACGTCTGAGGCTTTCCTGGAAAGAACTGAGAGATACGTGGCCAAACTGTATCGCTGGCAGGAGGACGGCCTCAAAGTTGGAACACGCTCTTCGCTTTTTCTCTCCCGCGCCTATGCGCGCGTTAATGTTGCGAGGATGCGTCATGTGTCTAAACTGAAAAGCCTGTCTTCTCTTGGCACTGAACCGATTGTTCCTTCCTTGAATAGGGTTCCCAGTCTGGTTGAATTAACTCATTATCCAGCTGGCTAGACAGCTGAGAATGACAACGACCACCTTCATTCAGGAGTAGTCACAACATCTATTGGTCTTTCTTCTGGTGATGGTGTGAAGCGCCAGCCGCGACACTATCTAGCCATCACTTTGACCTATGGCAACTGACCTCACCCAAGTGTTGATTCTACTTAGCTACAGTCCGCCTCTGACTTCTGAGTTACAGAACACTGTAGAAAACACCATTTCCTAATGTCACATTCCTTCATCCCGTTAGTACACAACCCACGCTCTTTAGAATATGGGTTCAAATATTTCAAATGCCAGTCTCTCAACTAATGCCCATCCTTAGGACTATCAATTCTATACCCACCCCAATCCCCCATGTCGATGACATTTGCAAATCCTGCTGACTGGAGTACTTCCTACCGTTCCTCTCCTTTGCTTCGATCTCCTTTTTCTTCTAGATACTACTTTCCCAACACTCTCGAAGAAGCTCTTCTGACCCCCTCAGACTGTGTCAGATTTCAGTGTAACCTCACTCCTTACCAGGTCAATTACCACAGAATACTGTAAATGACCTCCAGTTCATCTGAATTTCTCACTCTATTGTAAGGTGCACATGGTCAGAGTCTGTGAACATCTTGATAAAAGCAAGAACAGGAACTCAAAATTGTGCCATGAATAAGTGTGTGCAAATTATCTTCATCCAACAAGACATTTTTTTTATAACACAAAAGCACATGCTCACCACAGACCTCATCATTTAAATAAAGAAACCCCATCAACAACAGTTCCAGCGCTCCTGGATTCCCAGAATAAGGGTATAAGTATTTTGAGACTTTTAAATTTTATCCTAGTTCTTTTTAAATATAAGAGAAATTCATTCATGTAGAGAAATTTTAATCCAGTCTCATGACTACTGTTGAAAGGGGTCATTATCTAAAGACATTCTAGATCTATGAGATCTGGCTGGAATGCAGACACACTCTGACTGATTACAGTATCATTTGGCTGAAATACTAACACCTTAGTGCACACCTTTAATCCCTAACAATGTAGGTTAGTTCATAGAAGGGAACTGCCATGTTTGAAAGTGATGTCTAATTGATGGGCAGACAAAGTGATGAATCAGAGAAAGATTTGACAGAATGAGTCAGAGATAGGATATGTCAAACAAATTGGAGAACAGCACAAGAAAGGGATGGTACTGGGGAGGGAGGGTGGAAGGGGGTGAGAGAGAGAGAGAGCATGCCTGAGAGAGAGAGAGAGCGTGCGAGAGAGAATGGCAATTTTACTAGGACAATTTTTACAGAGACAGGTTGCAGAGAGAACAAGGTAGACACGGGTGAAGAGAGACTGAGCCAGGGAATGAGAAGGAAGCAGAGGATTAGAACAGATTGCCAAAGTTAGTATGAGGTCAGTTAGAAGCCAAGAGAAACTGGATTGAATCAGTCACCTTGAAAGATTAGATTGTACAAAGTCCTAGGCCAAGGGATAGTTAGAACAGAGAAAGACATGAGCTGTTCTCAACTCAAGCCACATAGTCACACAGCTTGGGCCTGGCTCTCATTCCATTCCTTCACCTGAGGAAATAAAACTGACATTTCCGCATGCAGCTTAGAACAACGTTCATCGTCAAAAGTATAGGGAGCAACATTTTAAGTTTGTGACTTCTTAATTTCCTTGCTGATACCCAATACTGAAATGTAGTCTTTGTTAATATCTTCCAGCGGATATTTTCAGGTAAGCCCCTGCGAATATATGTGCTGCTAAACTAAATTTGCCTGGAGTCTGTCTCTAGCATTTTAAGTTACTACATCAGAACTGCAACCTAACGTAGTTATCTTAGTTGATCTTTAGCCAGTTGACATGTTCCCAACTGACCAACTATGTCTGTATATGGGAGAGATATTGTATCAGGGTTCCCTTTGAGAAGGAACAATTAGATCCATAACCTGTTAAGTCCTAAACATTACTTGCAAGATTCATATTCTTGTGTACGGGAATCTTGTTTACATGTATGTTTATGTACTGTATGGGTACAGTGCTCATGGAAGCCATAAAAAGGCTTCCAATACCCTGGAACTGGAGATACACAAGGTTGTGAGCCACCATATGGGTGCTAGGAATCCAACCTGGGTCCTCTGGAAGAGAGGCTAGTGCTCTTAACCACTGGGCCATACCTCCCTCCAGCCTTTGTTTATACATACTGACTGCCTGGGTTGCTTGGTGGTGTTCTCTAAACCTTTCTTTCAGAGCATTGTTTGGTTTTTCATTGCTCGCTAAAGTTAAATCCTACTAAGTTTGTCTAAAATTTTAATAGTATTAATGATATACCAAGAACAGGGTGACATTGTCCCTGAAGGAAAAGCAGAACATGTACTTTGATTACTATAGGCACTGTGTGTGTGTGTGTGTGTGTGTGTTTGAGACAGGGTTTCTCTGTGTAATCTGGCTGTCCTGAAACTCACTCCGTAGGCCAGGCTGGCCTTGAACTCAGAGATCTACCTGCTTCTGCCTCCCAAGTGCTGGGACTAAAGGTATGTACCACCACCTTCCGGCTTCATGTCTTTCTTCTTGATCAGTGATGTTGTTCTCTTTTACTGAAGACAGGCTTTTTTTTTTGTTTTTGATGCTTTGGTACATAAAAAAGAATATGACTGCCAATCATTCCCAATTGGTAGAGCCCCAGAATTAAAAAAGAGCAAGCATACTATACTAGAACAATTGTAATATAAAGAGCAGTGAGAGCAATCACATGATAAACCCACTTGTTGATGAATGTGTGATAGATCTGGTCCCGGAGAAATGAATGGCCTTACCTCTGTGGAGTAATTACATCCTTGCCCTATATGTTGATGAATGCTAAGAACGATTAAAACAATGGTTCTGCATGGTTAGGTTGCTGTTTGAATTGAGTCAAGGAACGACTCCAATAGGATGGCAATCAAACTGAGAACTGGAGGAGGTAAACACTAGTCAGACATCCGAGGAAGGGGCAGGTAGGCCAGGGAAGAACTCCTAGTAATATAAGTAAGAGCAAGAAGGACCGGATGGGGGCAGAGTGAGCAAACAAGAGAAGAGAGTAGGACCTAACAGGGAAATCAAAAACACACTTATGATTGCAAGTAGCCTTCGCCTTCTGAAATAATTATCACAACAGCGAAACAGAATTTTGCAATGCAACTTCCCATTTCCTTACTGCATACATTCCGGAGGATTCTCAGCTGGGGCTTAGTCTATGAACATGAACTTTAACTAAGTTCAAAAACGAAGACATCCATTCATAACTCCGAATTTCTAGGCACCTATAGTAGTAATCCATGTTGGTGACACTTGCTTAGAAAATGTCCTGGACCCTAGTTACCTAGTTACCAGTGACCCTAATTAATACTAGCAGCAGGCAGAGAAATAGAGCCTGCGCTTGCGCAGTGCCATTGCTGGCCCCGCCTCTCCTGCTGTGGTTTGGGAGAACACGGAAGTCTCCGAGACTTCCTTTGAACGTGTCGGGGGGCGTGTCGTGTCGTAAAGTGTCGTGAATGAACTAACCTCGGTTCTTCAGACGCCGCGCTTTACGGCGCTGGCCCTGCTAAGCTGAAGATGTCGTCTGAGCGCTCTGGTCCTCCCGGCAGCTTCGCGAAGCGGGTCCTGGTGACCGGAGGTGCCGGTTTCATGTAGGTAACGGTGCTAGTGGCTGAGACGTTTCTCCCCACGAACCCTAACCTCTCCTCGAGGCTCTCCTTGTCTTGGCACTTTGGGTCCATGGCTTTGAGGATCCGATCTGGGGGAAGTCTAATGCACAGTCCGGGTGTCCGCCCAGTTTCCCTCACTTTCTGGCCAGCAAAGTCGAGGTCACTTCGAATTTGCGACTTCTTTAACATCTCCCCCACAAAAAGGGGAACTCAGGAGTGCTGTGGTGCTGTCCCCCTCCTACCTGCCCGGAGGTGTTTACCACCTGTCACTTTTTTGAGCAGCACACGTCAGTTTCTTTCCATTTTCTTCCTGCACTCTGACAAAGCTCCCACCAGCAGATACAGACCTTTCCAAAAGCTCTTCGATGAGAATCGTGATGGGACTCTTTGTCTTGTCTTTCCTTTTCTAGAAACCGTTTACAAATCCTTTGTCATTCCCAACTTGTTCGAGGCTCATACCCACCTACTGTGAATCCTTGATATTTGTATCAAAGGTTATCATTGATTCGACCTCTCACCACTGTCCCCTGACTGCTTTAGGCCTGATACTGCCCTCTTTTCCTTAGAACACTGCTCCTATACCTTGCCTGATTGGTCTCACACGTTTTCTTTACACTTTTTAAAGTGAGTTCCTAGACAGAAGTCGTTGTTTTTAAGGAAGTGAGATGCCTGCTGCGTAGAATTTTACAGTCATGGTTTCTGTGAGGCTTGTAATAAAAGTCCAGAATCTTTACCAGATCTAGAAGACTCATGTGCT